CTCTCTCTCTCTCTCTCTCTCTCTCTCTCTCTCTCTCTCTCTCTCTCTCTCTCTCAATTTTAACAGATGTCGGGAAGGACATGACCTGTGTACTTCTGCTGATGCTACCAGTGTGCGTTCGGCTGTCCGTCCATGTGTCACGCGTTTTCTGTTCATGTGTTGCAGGTGCACATGCCGTACGCCTGCAAGTTGCTGTTCCAGGAGCTGATGTCTATGGCGATCGCTCCTCGCATGCTGGTGAGGGACGAAAAGGGCAAGAAATGAGATCGCAGATTCGCAGTCTTCGACGTGTCTGCCCAAATTTGTAAATTTGTATCAAATCGTTTGCTCTGGGAGGGCATTTCTCTGCGAAGAAGACTGTTGAGCCAGAGGCCATCTGCGTCTGGATGCGCCAGAAGTGAGGAGAGGGGACACAGGGGACGTTATTTCTGCAGAACGTTATCTCCACGGCGAGTTTTTTTAGTTGGGTAATCTTACACACATCTAGGTGCGATGAAGAAGAGAGGAGAAAGGGGAGCGAGAGAGGAGAGCGGTGAAGGTATCGCTACAGGAACAGGACCTTCGATTGCCGCATTAGCACGTTGGTGGTATGTATGTATATCTGCCTTGAGCTTGGAAATCCCCAGGTAGCGTGCAGAGGATGAGGCGCAGGAGATCTGTGCGAAGGAAGAATTGGAGGGGGTTGTTGTTTTTCTTTTTCCCTTTTTTTTTTAATCTTTAATTGGGTTAAATTGCTCGATTGCCGCTTCGGTGGCATCTATTTCTCCCTTCAGTATGAAAGGTAAGAGTGTAGAGTGTGGAGGATGAAGCGTCGAGGATCTGCGGAGCTGTAGAATGGATTGTGTTTTTATTACTTTTTGACTTTTTCTGCTCGGTCGGTTAGTTTTGTCTCCACTTCAATTTGAGTTAAATTTGGACTTCAGTCCAATTTTGGATGTTTCTTGTCTTCGCGGCAAGGAGAAAAAGCTAAGTCGATGCATGTCAGTACTCTTTTCACTTTTTTTTTTTTTTTTTTTTTTTTTTTTAATTTTTTTTTTTTTTTTTTTTTTTTTTTTTTTTTTTTTTTTTTTTTTTTTTTTTTTTTTTTTTAACTCTTCTCACTCTGCTGTATTCTGTGTGGAGCTGTGTTTTTTTTTTTTGAACGATAATTATCTGCAGTGCTGCTTCCTGTTTGTCTTTTTGTTGTTTTTTCTGTCCCGGCCAAAGCATGGAGCATTGAGGAGGAGGAGAAAAGAAGAGCAGTTTCTGTCTTTTGTGTCTGTTCTGGCTGCAACCTGTTTGTGTCTTTTGTTTTTATATTCTTTGTCTTTTTTTTTTTCACAATTTAATAATTTATCCTTGTTGCCGTTGCCTGGCCATCAGCTTTATCATAAAGTTTATAGTCCCTATTGCTTGGGGATCTCGTTTTGCATTCGTGGGTGGAATTTATTTATTCAAATTTTAATATTATTTTATTGTTTTTATTCAAAAGGGTTTGGTAATTTGGGAGGAAAGGCAAAAAAAAAAAGAGAGGGGGAGGGGGGGGG